TGAGCATAATTAAGGTGAGACCCAAGCGTTATTTTTGACGTTTGAAAATGGATTCAATTTAATGACGCGTAATGAATAACATAGTGTATTTGGTTGCTCAAAACAATTTTTGTATGAATGAGAATTCAACGCATTTTCGGGTTCGTGAACATGGAAGTTGAAGAGATCATGTGGGTTTACTCATTAAAATGGCTTGTCCCATATTGAAACTTCATATAAACTCTAGCTTGCCATAATTGGGTTGAGCCCCAAGGGACACCTCAAGTTCTGTAATGAAGGAAGGTATGGACAAAGTGCGCTTGGCCCAAAAACCACCACACGCGCGTGCCGTCGCCGCCACCGTCTGACCTGTCAGCCGAGCCGAGCGCAAATGCGTGGTGTGGGTTGTGGGTCCGGTCCGGCCCTAACTTTAATTTTTTAGACAAAATTCGTTTGAATTTTCTCAATTTCTTGCGGGAAAAATTTTAAAATTTGCGCCAAAATTTCAAATTCAAATTTTTCGCCTCCTTTCTGAACTGATGTTGTTCTAGTCGTAGTTTTCCAGCCATGTGTGAACAGGTGCATGTTTGGCTATAAATAGCCTGCCATTCTAGCTTTTTAATCCATCCAATTTTTCTGAGCATTTCTTTCTTTTTCCTTCTTTTCGTCCTCCATGTCTTCCTGCATTTATCCAACATATAATCTTTAGGAAGAGAAAGAGAGAGTTACAGCATAGTTTTGGTTCGCCAGACTCAATTTTGTTGTACTGCAAATCAAGTAGTAGTCGTTGCATACTGGGAAGTAGACGCTAGTAAATCTCGAAGTACCGGAGCGAGGGCGAAATCTACTTTAAGAAGATTGTGTTCAACATAAGTCTCAACTTAAAATTTCTATAAGCAATTAATTCATAATATAATTTATTTAATTATGTTCTAAATTATTTAATTTTGGTTGTTAATTTTATTTACATTTTACACACACAACCACTGAGAATAACAGTAACTACTTAGATCGACACTAGTAACCAACAAAGAAGCACTAGTAGACTCACCTTAAACAAATTCATTTTATTTTGTCCTATATTTTATGATCTAAAACATATGAATATTTAAAATGTATCTTTTCAAAAAGAAAAAAAAAATTATAATCAATAATAAATTTTAAGAATATTAATAATTAAATTCATAAATTTTTCATTAATCTGTAAAATATTTTGTAAAAATCCACTGTGTAATTTTCCCAGTATTTAATAGCTTCTTAAGAATATATGTATTGGTTGGATTATTGTAATGAAAATGATTTGTAATTGTTTTCTTTCTCCTGTCCTATAATTTCAGCTAAAACTAAAAGGTCCAAACTGGTATTAAAAAAAACACACACGCGCGCACACACATTCCCTTGTCTTGATCAACTTGGTTGACATGGGAATGGATATTTTTGTATAATTTTATAACCCCTTAAATATAGCATATTGTATATGGTCATAATAATAACTGTCAATGGACAAACTATCATTGTAAGGTTCAATGGGGAATTTTATGCCAACTTATTATAAAAAATTCTCAATAAAAATTATAAAAATACAATTTTTGACACAAAATACATATCAAAAATCAATAATAATGTTAGAAATACTAACTACTGTATCAATAAATATACCAATTAAAACACAAGATATACGTGTGTGACCATTCATTTGACGTAAGACCCACCTAACATTATGGCTGAGTAATATATTTATTGATATATTAGTTAATGTTTCTAACAATTCAAATGTTACTCTTTATTTATAATTGACTGAAATATAAGGAAAATATATTATTCATTTTACATAGCTATTTTTTCATTTATGTGCTCCAACACTACTCTTTATATTATTTATCTATCCACACAAACTATTTAGAGAATCTCCCAAAACTTTGCAAATGTAACTAGCATATTGGAGAAAGTAAAAGAAAATAAAATTAACTATAATACCGAATAAATCTCTTTTAAAAAACTCATTAAAAATACACTAACATTATTGATCAATTAAATTCATCTCATAAAGAGAGAAAAATACCCAGCTTTCACTTTCTTTGCCTAGAAAGCAGGGGACCCACCATTCTACATAGGTTAACTCTCTTCAGTAAAAACTTCATATTAATAAACATTTTGTTTGTCATTTGACCTATTGTTCATTGGCTTGGACAATCACCTTTTCACCATTGTTTTTCTTTTTAATGGCCGTCCCATGTCCTCTCGTTTGGTTATGGCCAACTGGCAAACTTGCTTCTTGTTTTGTCTTTGTCTTCCCTATTAAAACTCATCGTTATCACTATCATTGCTATTATTTTTTTGGCGTATTGATCTCTCCATCCTCACTATGCCCGTCACAGATTCTCCAATTCTATTGTTCTATATGTTTTTTTCCCTCTATGTAAATGTATGTGTTCATTAAAGTCTAATTGTTTAAAAAACTTATTTTCTATGTAAAAACATGTTCTAAATATATTTTACAGACACAAGTTGTTTTTTGAAACATTATTTTAAAAACATACAACTTTAAAAAAATGAAAAATAATGTTTAGGCCAATTAAAGTGTTTTCAGAATAATAGAGTTCAATGTAAGAATTAATTAGGGAAGAGGGTAATGTTCGCTAGTATTTCCCTCCAATATAATTTTGAACTAAAGGGCCCAATTTAGGCCGTTGTGTGCCCGTCTTGATAATTTGGATTGTTCTAAAAATTAAACAATTTAGATTAATGAAGTGGGTTTGAGGAGGACTAATAATGCCTTAAACTAGTCTAGAGAGTCTCATTCTTGATTAAATAGGTGGACAAAATCAAACTCGTACATATAATTGTCAAATAAATAAATAAATAACTGTATCAAATTATGCAACAAAAACAATCAAAACAGTATGAGATGAAAGTGGGCTCAACACATCAACCTCACAACAAAAAATAGCAACCATCCATCCCTTTCAAGCAGGCTTTTCAATGGAAAATTGTCCAATCTTAGATATTTTCACACTTTACTATTGTGTTTGGTTGGGAGATTTGAGGAGGGATTTGGAAAGAGAAAGAAAAAAACAAAGTGTGTGAAATTAGATGAAATATAAATATATTTTATTCGCATTTCACCTAACTTTTTCCTTTTGTCTTTTCAAATCCCTCAACCAAACACAGCGACTTGTGACTTTCCAAATCATAGATTTCCTTATTTGATGGTTCCTTAATTTTTATTTTTATTTTTATTTTTTTCGTGCATTTTGGTGTACCTAATTATATAGTCAAAGAAAATACATGTGATTTGGCAGGTCTCAAATTTTCCACTTCCAAAGGCAACTTTGTGCATGTGAGTGTTGAAGTGAATCCCATGATGGTAAAACCATTAAATTTAGGTATGCTTGGCTATGAATAGTATGAAACAAAGTCTTCCATTTTTTTTCCATTGTAAACAAATTTTTTTTTTTCTTTCTTTCTTTCTTTCTTTTTCCCCCTGTTATTGAATAAAAATTCAATAACTGATTTTACATGGTATCACTATTATATTAAATTTTATTTTCCTTATCAATAAAATAAATTATAACAAACTATAACAAAGATGACCGTTAAACTATAGCTTTCCCTTCCGATCTTAAAAAAAAAAAAAAAAACTCAAGAAGAAGAACAAAAAGTGTGCATTGCTCATTCTTTCTCTCTCATATACATACATACAAAAAAAAAAAATTCACATTTCTCACTCAACTACCTTGGAAGCCTTGTAGCAAAGTTAGTTATTTTTTGGAAGTAACAGAAGTTAATAACAAATAATGTGCTAGTGAGTATGTATATGTTCGAGGATGTAAGCATCAATATCAAATTAGTTAAAATTTTGTTATATTTTAATTTTAAAAAGTTTCTATTTTGATTTTACATCTTTTTAATACATTGTCCAACAAATTCTTTATTATTTCTCTATACTATTTAAATGTTATTTTATTCATTTTAATTTAGAATTATTTTTTATATACTCAACACAATTAATTCCAAAATAGAAAAAGTAATACTTTTTTAATGTTTGGTTAGAATAAACTACTAGTTACATTTGTTGACTGAAAACCATCAAAATTAAAATGGCTAACTTGATAACTAGTTTGATAGAGAAAAAATATAGCGATTTATTCACTATTATAATTATAAAAAAATGAAAATAACTAATTTAATGTTGATATTCCAAGCCATACGAGCTCATTATATAAATTTACAGAACAATCAAAATACTTACTCAAATAGATCAATATTTTTAGGCTTTTTTTAACTTAAAATTATCAACATAAAATATCTTTTATATATGACTATATAGAAATTTCGAGTTATATGAATCTTACGCCCTTAATATATTTTTACATAAAAGACATTATTTAGTGAATTAAACTTTTGGCTTGATGGATTGGTCGTTAGATTTTGTTAACTTTTTTGTCACTATGACCTAATGGTTTGTTTGATCATGTAAATATTTCTCATAATATAATTACTTTTTTATCTATTGAAAAAATAAATAAAAATGCATAAGGTATAGGGACTTTTTTTTTTTCTTTTGTCACCAAAAGTGAAATTTTTGTTAAAAAAAATTATGAGACCAATTCTTATCGTGGCAAGGTCCTCACTAAAATGTCGTTTTGAGAAGACAAAATAAGGATCTTTAGCAACAAAATTTTGAAAATGTTGCTAATAAATACACTTTTATTATATATTTAATTTTGTCATTAAAAATAAAATAATAACACTTTTGTCAACTAAAATATTTTGACCTTAAAAAGTGATAAACATAATTTTTTTTTCTCAAAAACCGTAATTCATTGTAGTGTAAACAGTAAATTAAATGAAACATCACTCTAAAAACACTAAATAAATTCTATATACATATTCTTATGCAACTTATTAAATAGTTTCTTGTATTTTTTAAAAAAATGAATACACCACCAAAATTCTTAAAATTTGAGGATTACAAAATCTCCAAAAGTTCTATCACGCCCTATATATATCCTAGTAACCAAGTCATCACTCTTATCTCTCAAGACAACACACACAGCAATGGCACCAACTTTCTCTTCCCTCTTTCTTTCTCTTCTCATCCTTCTTCTCACTCCTCTCTCCTCATCTGCGAGAACTCATTACAACAAAGCTTCCCAATCTTCAAAAGTACTCAGTTCCCCAAAAACACAAGCACAGAAGCTCATCCAGGCCTTTAACTTGTCTCCCAAACATGCCTTCAACACGGGCAGCCCGGTACGGGAGGAAGACTCTTCGGTAGATGCTCCACTAATGGTGGAAAAGGATTTGGTGTTTCCTAATGTCGTTGGTGACCCGGCAAATAATTCTATTCAATTCTTGGGTCACCATGCCGGTTATTATCGCCTTCCACATACTGTAGATGCAAGGTATATTCAATTGTTGATTTGATTCTGATACGAATAAATGAGTCTTTTGTTTTTTTTTTTTGGCAGGAAATTTTGTGTGTCTGCTGATGATGATCAATGAAACAGGACGGTCCTATATTTAGGAGTGTAAATTATTGTGCATGATTGAGTTTTATATTGGATAGAAATGACAAAGTGGTGTTAATAATTCTTTTCCAACCGAACTTTAATGGAGATCTTGTACACGTAGTAGTCTTTTTCCAGTAATGCTAATGGCATTTACTTTTTATTTTATTTTATTTTATTTTACTGCGGATGGTAATTTATGAATTAAGAAATTGGTCAAAATAATGGGAGAAAAAGAAAGGTTATATTATAGTAACAAAGAAAAAAAAAACATATATATATATATCAATATTTTTGGGTAAATTTTCCGAGTATGTAGTCTTACTGAGAAAAGAATGTTGAGTTTGGTTTAAATTCAAATGATGGGAATGGTTGATGCAGGATGTTCTACTTTTTCTTTGAATCAAGAAAAAGCAACAAGAGTGCTCCAGTAGTTATATGGCTAACTGGAGGCCCAGGGTGTAGCAGTGAACTGGCTTTGTTCTATGAAAATGGTCCTTTCCATATTTCTGAGAACTTGTCTCTTATTTGGAATGATTTTGGCTGGGACCAGGTATAATATATTACTCTCTTTTTCTCTCTCATCTTGTTACATATATGACAAACATTTATATCCCACTTGTTTGTGACTTGTGTTTGTTTTTTTGTCTGTGTAGGAATCAAACATAATTTTTGTAGACCAGCCAACTGGAACTGGTTTTAGTTACAGTTCTAATGCAAATGATACTCGCCACAATGAAGAGGGTATTAGCAATGATCTATATCACTTCTTGCAGGTCTGATTAATAATGTCTCTCCTTTTTGTATGCCATGAATCAATTAGAACTGATAACAATCTCATTATTTGCATTCTCATTATCATAAACAAAATTTTTGTATCAATATTATTGTATATATCCTCCGTTCTCTCCTCTTCTCTGTACACCACTTATCCCCTCCCTACCACCGCAACCCCTTTCTTCCTCTTCTTGTCTATTTCGATTCTCTTTCACTAGAAGAGAAAGAGGAAATGGGGTTGACTATACTGATAACATAGTATTACCATTATACTCAATTTTTTTAGTAGCTAGGGTGTGGTATCAGATTAGGGATTGGTTATGATTCAAATTTTACAATAAAATAAAATTTTAATTTAAATATATTTATAAATAAAGGTGAAGGTCCACAAAAAAAAAAGAAAAAGAGTGCTGTTGGCAGAACCTTAATGTGACTCTTGAAAACAAACGATTCATCACTAACTACAAAAATGTCACTGTTAAATTATTGCATATGGTTTTTTTTTTTAATTTTTATTTATTTATTTGTATAGAACTTTCGTACAGCTAGCAATTTTTTGTTTTTGATTAATTAAATATTTAGAGTGTCACTTATTTTCCACACGTACTAAAAATGCTCCAATAGATTTTCACTACTCGCAATGCAACATTTTCAAAAAAATTATTTAAAAGAATGAATTAATATTTACATTTATTATAAATATGACTCACATCTTAATAATTTTAAATTCACACCATACATTCGGTTTGAGAGTAAGATTCAAAGTAAATTTTGATGGTCCATAGACTCAAACATGATTCATATTTATCTCTGTCATATGCCCATATGTGATTGCCAACCAAACAGCCTCCTTCACTAAACAATACTTGACTATACTTCTTGATGTATTCTAAAGCTAGAAAGAACTTGTTAGAGCAATTCCCATTGTAAACTTACTCTCCACCTTCTGTATAACGTTAGGAATTCTTCAAGCAACATGGTGACTATGTAAACAATGACTTCTACATAACCGGAGAATCATATGCCGGTCACTACATTCCGGCTTTCGCTTCTCGGGTTCACAAGGGTAACAAAGCCAACGAAGGAATTTTCATCAACCTCAAGGTATATGCCTATATATATATATATGTTTTTGAGATTTTTATTCAGGTTTTAAAATTTTAGTTTGCATTTAAGGTTTGATTATTCAAATTGATTAATTGAACACAGGGATTTGCAATTGGGAATGGACTGACTAATCCAGCAATCCAGTTCAACGAATATGCTGATTTTGCATTGTACATGGGAATCATTAAACAATCTCAATACACCAATGTTACCGACTTGGTTCCTCCATGTGAACAAGCAATCCAAGCTTGTGGTAATTCTTCCCTTTTCCCTATATTTTTATCTCTTCTTTCTTTTCTTTTCTTTTTTTTCCTCATTAAATTCATCTTCCGGTGTCATTACATTGTCACAAAAGGCCCGACTAGAGTAGTATTTGGGTGTAGTAACTCCAATGCACGACACTTTTGATAAAACTGGAATAAGATGTGCATAGTCTTTTTCATTACTCAAAGACATGTCATTTATTGTGCTAAAATAGCCCATTATTATTTTTTGTGTCAAAATTAGCATAGAATAAGATATACAGTCTTATTTCCCTCCTCTTACTATGGTTTACAGAAATAGAAATGTTTGGGACCCCTTTTTTTGGGGCTCCATGACCCCCAATTTGATCTTGACCCTTGATGTGTGTAGAGTTCACTCATGTATGTATGGGCCCTACATTATGATTGATTGGGATGAGAGCGGGTTTGTGGGGATCATGTATGTGTAGGGTTTGTATCGCAATTATTACACAAAATATTTGAATATGTGACAACCACATCATATAGATTTTAAACAAAATATTCAGCTTGTAGTGTATACTATTTTTTTTTTCATTTCTTCTTGCAATTGGTCATTATTACCCTTGTTTAATTTGTGTGTGCTTTTTTACATTATTAGCTACAAATGGATCAACTGCAAGTTGCACGGATGCATTCCATGTTTGCCTCAACATATTCGACGAGGTCTTGTTTCTCAACGGCACTGATCTTAATGTAAGAACCCCACGCCATCCCATTCTAACGCTTTGTTTCGCTAAACACCATACATATATATATATATAGGAAGTGATTAAAGTACCTTTTTTTTTTTTTTAATATTGAATATCTGATATGTTGTGTGCAGCATTATGATATAAGAAAGCAAGGCGGCTACGACTTCTCAAAAATGGAGGAATTTCTGAACCAGGATGCGGTTCGACAAGCACTTGGGGTTAACAATACTGAATTTGTTGCGTGTAGCACCACCGTGTACGATGCCTTGGTGGCCGACTGGATGAAGAATCTGGAAGTTGGGATTCCTGCTCTTCTTGAAGATGGAATCAACGTGCTTATATATGCTGGGGAGTATGATCTCATTTGCAACTGGCTTGGTATGCTTCTTTCACTTCAATTTCAATCTTTCTTGTGTTTATATGTTTGAAGCAAGCTCTTAAAACAAATCTAGTTACTTGAGTACAATTCTTATCCATTCCGTTACTTAAACAGCTAAATTTTAAACAAGGTTTAAAGCATGGCTTTAAGCTAAATTTGAACCAAGATAGCTTGTCTCGGTGCAATTCAAGCTTTAGGATCTTATTCACCCAAAAAAAAAAGCTTTAGGATCTATCATAAGTCCTATTTCAATTATTCAAATCATTCATTTTATGAAGTCTAGTGTATAGATCATTTAAAAAAATAAATAAACAAATAAATTGACATAATAACTTTAATCATGTAATTTTACTATATTTATTTTCAAGAAATAAATAGCATATTTTCAAAAAATGCTAGCGATACAAAAAGTTTAATCAAACTTTTTAACTCACATGGGTGTAAGAATATAGTAAAAAAATTTGGTAAAACTCTCATGTCTCTAGTGTTTTTCAAACAGAAATTGCTCCTTTTAGGAGACTAGAGACAAAGTGACCTCTTATAAATAATTTTTTTAAAAAAAAATTAACTACTTGAAATTACACTCAATTTGATTAAAACTCGTTTAAAATCAATTCAAACAAAAAATAAATTAAATTTGATCATATTTTAAAAATTGTCAAGATTAACCATTCAAGAATAAACAACCTCCTACTTTGCTAAACTCGATTTAACTAACTTACAATCCAAGTTTGAAAACGGCAAAGAACTCCGAGAATGCCAGGTGAGCGTATGGCACTCGATAATAAGGGGCAGCTGGCCAATTTTTTTTTATTAAAACAAACATGATCGCGTACCATAAGAAATAGTCTCTTTGGCTGCATTTGCAATCACGGTGTGTTTTGGACTGGCAGGGAATTACAAATGGGTTACTGCCATGCAATGGTCTGGTCAGAAAAACTTCAGAAATGCTCCCATTGCTTTCTTTCTAGTTGATGGTGTACAGGAAGGAGTCATGCGTAGCTATGGGCCCCTAACTTTCCTCAAGGTCTCTCTCTCTCTCTCTCTCTCTCTCTCTCTCTCCCTCTCAAATTCCAACTTTTGACAAATTTCTTTGTTGCAACATCAATCAGGCATATAATGCTGGTCACTTGGTTCCAATGGATCAACCCAAAGCTGCACTAGAAATGCTGAAGAGGTGGACACAAGGCACACTTACTGTGGCAGGGGATCAAGCCAACATTCCCACCTTAGACTTTGGTTCTCTCCATTTTTGAAAAAAAGATTCATGAACTTCTCTGTTTTGAGTCAAATACCAACAGCGGCAACCAAACAAATTGGCGCGAAAGCTTTATTTCCTTTTGATCCTCCTACAGTACCAAGAACAATCATACTCAAACAAACCAAAATAACATTGTTCAAAAAAAAAACCAAAATAACTGTGATTCAATTCTGCATTTCCAGAGTCAATAATCTGGACATGATGTTTAAGTAGTTTTTTTTTTTACTCAAAACTGTTTCTGATGTTATGTCGAAAAAGCTCAACAAAAAAAGATCTGTTGGAACTACATTGCAGCATACAATTTGAATAATAACATGGTTATGAACCAACTGTTACTCCATACAATTCCCTCAAGGTCTCAATTGCAGGTCGGAAACCAGAGCGCAAAGGAACAACAGCTACAACTCGTTGATGCTGTGCGTTACCATTCTTTGGTTTTGATAGTGTCACTCTCAACATTTCTCCCTCTAGGACTTTAGCAGCAGTCTCAGCTAGATAACAATATCCGCAATCAAACAAAAAGAGCCAAAAGAGGAATCTAAGTTAGTACTGAAATATGCAAGGATAATGGGGAATAAAGCTTCACACAAGAATGATTTCTTTCATTATCAGTATGCCATTTTCCAAAATATAACGTCAAAGAGTTTGTTTCGAATTTGAAAAATGTTTTCGTACAAAAAAGAAAATGATATGAAAATGTACATGTTTATAAAGTTTCAAAGAAAACACAAAAACAAAAACAAAAATGATAAAAGACTTGGTGTTGAAGAACTGTGACCAAAACAAAATATGAAGGAAAAGTTATCGAGAGAAATGAAGAAAACTTCAGAAATTTGAAGAAACCAAACTTCCTCTGTAAATCAGCAAAGAAATGTAGGTAAACTTTTGGGGCGAGGAAATGGAGGTAGACTTCAGAAATTTCATCAATGCATCATTTTCTTTTCTTTTCCTTGTTGCTCACTGTTTCTAAGAACAAAATGGAGCCTGCACAGAACTTTCATTATTTTTATAGTCCTTTCCAATCCTAAAAGTTGCAAGGAAAATTGCATGAAATACATTTACTGATATGATAAAATTTTCATTTTTAGACAAAAAAGATACCAAAAATTCAATTTATGTTTTTCAACCAAACACATCAGCAGCAAGTATGAAATAATTTTTTAGGTCAGCAAAGTAATAGAACCTGTCAAGTGAACAAATTATAATTAGTTTCATGCATATCATCCAAGGTTATTTTCAAAGACACCTTAAATTGCATTTGCATCCAAAAATCAGAGAGGAAATATGAGGAAATGAGACATGTATTGGGTACCAGTAAAAGGGTGAAGCTTGGCAAAATCAAAGAACTCATCAGCAGAGCAACCAAACAGAACCCTAGCAGCCCTATCAAACATAATCACCACGAACACCTTTGTATCTGATGCTATAGACATCTGCACAAAAACCCACAAACCCAAATCCAAGAAAGTTACCCTGTATTCTCTCAGCAACCAAACAGAACAGCAAGAAAATTATGACCCATAAAATATAATTATGAAAGAAACTATCTTCCTGAGGAAACATTCAAGTCATGACTAGTGGGGGGCTTACGAGGATGCGAAAGAGGCGTTTGGAAGTGGAGCGAGAAGGGTTGATTGCATTGTTGAAATTGCAGTATTTGCAGAGTGGAAGAGACGAAGAAGAAGAAGAAGTGTTGGTGCTGGTGTTGGTGATTTCAGGTAGTGTCCTGTCGCAGATTGAGCAGACTCTGTAACAGAAATTGGTATGATCTATGGCCACCACCGTACACATTAGCGTCGTTGGCTCATCGCCTTCCATTATGGGTTCCCTTCTAGGGTTTTGTTTTGGTTTCCCTTGTAATATAATTTTAACAAATTTAAAGGTAATAACATAATTTAACTATAAGAGAGGAAGGTAGTATTATTCTTAAAAAGACAAACAACAATGCTAGATAACACATTTTGCACATATAAATACATCTATAATAATGTGACAATGATGAGAGTTCCAACATCATTGAGTGTTTAACCAATCAAAAACTGACACTTGTCAAATTATATTATTGTGGGTTAAATTGTAAAAAATTTATGAGAGTCTCAAATATTTTTCAAAAATAAATATCTCTTGTATTTTTGTCTATACGTGTGGATTACACATTTTTATTTGAAAACAATCATATAATCATTTATAGTTTGTAAAATGAAATGCACCGTTAAATATTCTGTTAAGGAAAGCACAATCGATTGACTTGATTGCAGCAATCTTTGTTAATAATAGGATTGTATATAGTCAACATAGTCATTTTGTTTTATTCTATATTTGTAAATACATAAGCAAGGCAATAGCTTAATTGTAAGCTTTGACATAGGATTTAGTTTCTTGAACTTCTTGTATAAAGATGTACGAATTCCTCAATGGAAGATAAGTGAAATTGATTCAGTTTTTCAATTTCTTCACATGATATCAGAGCAATAAGCTCTTGGTGACTTAGAGACTCTACCTAAACATAAAACCCAATCGTTTCTTCCATGGGAGGCATAGAGGAAAAAGTAAGAACTCATTAATTGACCATGACTGAAACAGCCAAACATGAAGATGTAAATCATCCATTCTATCCACATCACTCAGATAAACTTGGTGTGATTCTTGTATCTCAGCCTTTGACTGTAGACAATTATAGCATCTGGAGTCGTGCCATGATCATGGCATTAAGTGCCAAGAACAAAATTGGATTTATCGATGGATCGGTCATGAAACCAGAGCTGGAGTCGTGCTATGATCATGGCATTAAGTGCCAAGAACAAAATTGGATTTATCGATGGATTGGTCATGAAACCAGACAGCACCTCGGTTGTCGAGTTTCAATGATGGAATCGATGCAATAATCTAGTGAAATCATGGCTATTGAATTCTTTTTCCAAGGAAATCTCAGCCGGTGTCATATACTGTGATGTGGCTCATAAGATATGAACAGATCTGAAAGACCGTTTTTTCCAAGTTAACAGTGTTCGCTTATTCCATATTGAAAGTGAAATCTATGATTGTGTTCAAGACACCAAGTTAGGCAGTTCTTATTTTACCAAGCTCAAGGGATTGTGGGATGAGCGTGATGCCTTGTGCTGGATCCCTGCTTGCAATTGTGGCACCATGAAAACAGTCTTGGAATGTCAACAAAGTCAAAAGACCATGAAATTTCTCATAGGACTCAATGAATCCTATGTTGCAATTCGAGGCCAAATCTTATTGATGGATCCATTTCCTACAATCAATCGAGCATATTCACTTGTGCTTCAACATGAACGACAATGTGATGTTTCAACCGGGAAACAAACTCATCTTGAAGCAACGGTACTTGCAGTGAGGAACAACTCTAATACTAATGACCACAGAAATTTCAGGGACACTAACAAAGGATCCAAATTCGGTAAGAAAAATGACCATTTCAAGTGTGATCGTAATGACAAAACAGGTTACACCATAGAAACTTGCTAAGCCCACCTAAAATGTAATTATTATGGTTGGAAAGGTCACACCATTGAGAACTGTCAAAAGTTGCAAAGAACAGATCACTATATTCCCTCAAGGCCGAATTCATCAAAAGGGAACTATGTTTCTTCACAACAACCTACAAAAGAGGAGACTTCAAGTTCTTTCATGTTTACCCCAGAACAGTGCCAACAAATTTTGAGTCTTCTCCACAATAGTAAGCCTAATTCCCTAACATATCATGTTGGGCGCCCTTCCACCATAAGTGACTTTTCAGGTAACTCTTTTGGTTTCTTTTCATGTGGTGGAAACATGTCATGGATCCTTGATAGTGGAGCCATTGATCACATGGTTTGTTCCCATACTTTCTTGACATCCTATACATCTATTTTAAATCAAACAGTCCAATTGCGAAATGGTGCTTATGCCACAGTCACTCATATAGGCAAAAATGTGCTTTCCTCCCATTTAATTTTGAATAATGTTCTCTATGTCCTATCATTTGACCTTAACCTTATTTCCATAAGCAAGCTTGCATCTCATTCTCTATGTTTTACCTCATTTTTTAATCATCTTTGTGTAATCCAGGACCTACGCTCGGGAAAGATAATTAGGATAGGAACTGAACAGAAGGGTCTCTACTATCTAGATGTCTCAAAAAAGGCAGTGTGCAATTTAGCCAGAGCGTCTCTTTTGGACATATGGCATTAACAACTTGGGCATCCATCCAATAAAACTTTACATTTTCTTTTTCTTTCCATTAATGAGATTGAATCATGTGATGCTAGCATTTGTCAAATTTGTCCATTAGCAAAACAAACTCGATTACAATTTCCATTGAGTTCTATTTCTAGTATTGCACTTTCTCAGTTATTACATGTTGATATTTGAGGTGGCTATCAGGTTGCATCTATTTCTAGAGCTCGTTATTTTCTTACTATTATTGATGACTTTGCTCGTTGTACTTGGGTATACTTGATGCATCATAAATCCGATACTCGTAATATCTTAATATCTTTCATTAACCTTGTTAAGACACAATTTTCTTCTAAGGTTCAGATCATACGCGGTGATAATGGGGCTAAATTCAATCTTGATATTTTTTATTCCAGTAAAAGTATTACTCATTGAGAGGGTAATTTTTGGAAAAAATTGGGCCGAGCTGCAAGTTGGGCTTTGAGGCCCAAAACGCGAAGGACTAAGTAAGAAGGCCGTAAAGGATACTCCGGCCCAGGAGAGCAGTATTACTCCGGCCCAGGAGAAGAGTAGTTACTCCGGCTGGGAGAAGTAAAAGTTACTTCGGCTCAGGGATGTAAAGCTACTCCGGTCTGGGGTGGCTTCTAGTTAAACCGATCTCAGAGATAGTCCGGTTATAAGTTATTCCGGTCAGATCAGTCGGAATGTTATTACTTGGTAAAGCGGTTCAAACGTACCACGGTTCATGTATGGGAGAACCAATATATGCTGCGGCAAGAAGAACCGAACTACGGTTAGTATGGTCCATTCTATGGTTCGGCGTAGCCAATGTTATTTCGGTCATGTGGTGATTCGGCCGAAGAGAAAACCATCCCACTTGGTTTAAGCAGTGGGGAGGGTGTAAAAGGATAAGCATTATCCTTAGGAGAATGAATCCTAGGAGGACTCTGCATGGAGAAGTACAAGTCCTACTAGGATTGTGCCACGGGAAACTTATAAAAGCTCACAAACATCACCTTGGAGGAGGTAATTGAACACAATCTTTCTGAGAACTTAGAGCTTTGTCTATTTGTCAAGTTTTCTGACTTAGGCATTGGAGAGGTTTCCGGCACACACCCGCCGGCTAGCTCACGTTTGTGTTTTCAGGTGACAAAGCGACGTCGTACGGAGGAGAGTGGACTTGGTCAACAGGATTATACGAGGAGAATTATTTCCTCCCCGTACACTCATCAATTTGACACTCCTCAACAAAATGGCGTAGCCGAACGCAAGCACTGTCACTTACTCAATGTAGCGCGAGCCTTACTTTTCTAAGCTCATCTTCCTAAATGTTTTTGGGGAGAGGCAATCTTAACCGCAACCTATCTCATCAATATGACTCCTACGTCTCTTTTAAAAGGTAAAACTCCCTATGACCTGTTTTTCCACATTAAACCACAATATTCTCATTTGAGAGTTTTTCGATGCTTGTGTTTTGCTTTTACTCATGCCCAACGACCTTCTAAGTTTGATGCTCGGGCTACTCGCGGCGTATTTGTTGGTCATCCATATGGCCAAAAGGGGTATCGGGTCTATGATCTTGCTCTTGATAAAGTTTTCAGCTCCCGGGATGTAGTCTTTCATGAAGTTACCTTTCTATTTTCTCAAATTTTCGCTGCTGAAAATAACACTGTCATACCCGCTCCCCTTGATAGTCAATCTGATCATACCATCGAGTTGCCCTATTTTCAAGATGTCGAACCTCACCACAACGTGAGTGCCACACCCCCTTCCTCTTCTATTGATTCTACACCCTATTTTGAACATATATCACCTCATTCCTCACCAACTCCACCTCATGTCTCATAGCTACTTCAACGGCCTACTCAGTCCACTCGCATTCCTCATTACCTTCAAGATTTTCATGTGAGTGCTACACTCCCTTCTCGTTCTAGCCCTTCATCCACCTCAGCCGTGGTCGAATCAACAAGTACTTCTCACCCATTGTCTAATTTTCTTTCTTATGATCGTTTATCCCACAACCATTGTACTTTCACAGCATCTCTTTCTCTTGCCAAAGAACCACAAACTTTTTTCAGGTTTTCAAGATCCTAAATGGTGAGCCGCTATGCAAAGCAAACTTGCTGCTCTTGAAGCTAATCACACTTGGACACTACAACCTCTCCCACTGGATGCAAATGGGTTTACAAAATTAAGCTCAATCCAGATGGCACCGTGGAATGTTACGAGGCTCGCTTAGTTGCCAAAGGCTATAGTCAAATCAAAGGTCTTGATTACCATGATACTTTTGCTCCTGTTGCCAAATTGGTCACCGTTCGTCTTCTTCTTGCTGTTGCCGCTACCCAAGGATGGCATCTTCATCAACTTGACGTTAATAACGCCTTCTTACATGGAGATCTCGATGAAGATGTCTACATGTCTTTACTTCCTGGTTTCGGCTGAAAGAGAGAGACTCGGGTATGCAAGCTTCACAAATCTTTGTATGGGCTGAAACAAGCCTCAAGACAATGGTTCCTGAAGTTATCATCAGCTCTTAATGATGCTGGTTATAAACAGTCAGTCAAACTATTCTTTGTTCGTTCGATTCCAAGATAATTGTTTCACAACAGTTCTTGTTTATATTGATGATGTCATATTGGCAGGAAACTTGCAACAAATTCAAGAAGCTAAACAATTTTTGAGTAAACAATTCATACTCAAAGATCTTAGCTAGTTAAAATATTTCTTGGGAATAGAAGTGTACGATTAGCCAAGGGAATTTCATTTTCACAAAAAAAGTATGCTCTTGAAATACTTGAAGATGCTGGTTTTCTAGGACCCAACCTCCAAAAATTTCCCATGGAACAAAATTTGACTCTCAATCAATCAGATGGAGAACTTTTAAAAGATCCTTACTCATATCGGAGACTTGTTGGTCGCTTCATATACTTAACCATTACACGACCAGATCTAGTATATGCAGTGCATGTCTTAAGTCAATTCAAGGATAAAACACGTGTCACATCTCGATGCCACCTATAGAGTCCTAAGATATCTCAAACAAACACCAAGCCAAAGAATTTTCACTCTGCCTCAAGTCCAATCCAATTAAAGGCTTACTGTGATGCAGATTTGGTACGTTTCTGGGACACTAGAACATCAATAACTGGTTACTGCATACTGCTTGGTCACTCACCTAGTTCTTGGAAAACCAAGAAATAAACCACGGTGGGTCGATCAACTGCCGAAGCAGAATACCACTCCATGGCAGCAACTTGTTGTGAGATTACTTAGCTAAAGTATGTTCTTAATGATTTAAAGATCAAACATCCACAACCTGTCACACTATACTGTGACAATCAAGCAGCTCTTTATATTGCTTCGAATCCAGTCTTTCACGAACGGACAAAAGACATTGACATTGATTGTCACTTAACTTCATCAGCCAGCTGACTTATTTCACCAAAGCATTGAGCTCATCGCAATTTGAGGCTTTACTTGGCAAGTTGGGTGTCATTAACATACACTCCAACTTGAGGGGGAGTGTTAAGGAAAACACAATCAAATGACTTGATTACAACAATCTTTGATAATTATAGGATTGTATATAGTCAACATAGTCATTCTGTTTTATTCCATATTTGTAAATACATAAGCAAGGCAATAGCTTAATGGTAGGCTTTGACATAGGATTAAGTTCCTTGAACTTCTTGTATAAAGATGTACGAATTCCTCAATGGAAGATAAGTGAAATTGATTCAGCTTTTCAATTTCTTCACATATTCTGTTCAAATTAAGAGTAAATATGAAATACATGTCAGATATAAAGGAATTATATGCTTATTTTTTAAATTTTCAAAAGATAAATTATAAATAAAATAAAGCACAAGAGTAAAATTTACATCCTAAACAAAAGATAAAAATATTTGTAGTTCATAAATTTAGATTACACTTAAATTACTTATGTATGTATAAGTATTTTAATTTTTTTTTTTTGTTAAATCATTAATTTTTTAAATAAGATAGATAATTGCACATGGATCAGATCACAATGGTAAGGTAGTGAAATTTGCCATTTTTCAAAACATCAAGAGAAAATCTGCAATAGAGGCAAATTTTAGGATGTTAATGTAATTTACCTAATTTGCTGCAAAAGCAAAACACAGTGGGCAGCGGCTCAGCTGGTTAATTTTTGGAACTAAAAAGTGTGGCTTATGCATTCCTCCTTATATCACACCAACGGAACAGTGTTCCCTGTAAAAAAAGAAAAAGAAAAAAGGACTTTCCTCTCTTCACACGCATTGCTCAGTGACCCACTCAGTCTAGATGGATTACAGGTTTGATTTAATTTTTCTTGTATTTTATCTCCTAATTTCCATTCGGTGTGATTAATCTTTATGATTAATGATTTGGGTCTTTTACCATCTGTTTTTGTTGCCGATTTAATGGGTACAAGTGAAAGAAATTCAAAATCTTTAAAATCAGCAGTCTCAATTTTTCAGCTTTCTTCTTCACCATTACTCCAAGGTAGACGGGTCTCACTTGGCGTGCCAATTTATGTTGGTAAAAATCTAGTTTAAGCCTAATCAATAATGATTTGGACGACAGACTCAAATAAATTTCAAGTAAACACAGAAAAAATTAGGCTTTGTGATTAAGTTCTTTGCCTTAAACAAATTAAGGATTTCCTGTAAGTAATTAAATGAAGAGGAAATGGAATAGAACAGAATATGTATTAATTCAAATAAATTGTCACTTGTCACTAGTTACAAAAACAAAAAATTAAAGAAATACAAGAATTGACAGAAAGAAAAGAAGTGGGGGTTAGAAAAAGCAACTGGTTTAATTTACTCCTAAAATGCTAAGTTAAACTACTCTTAGATAAACTCTTTGCGAGTGTAATTGGTGGTTGTTGATGTCCTTTTGTTCTGCCTTCAGCCTCCTTTTATACTTGCTTCTTGACTTGACTTGATCTCGATCTTTCTAGATTTTCTGATTTTCTGCATACTTATCCCTTCATTCCACGAATTTGAATTTCAGATTCTCCCTTGATCAATTTCTTCTTTAGCTCTTGCCCCAGCACTTTGTTTATACCACAACGGTCAACCCTTTATACTTTTTCTACGTCATCCCCATGCCTTGTCAGCATTCTATCGACGGAGGACTCCAAATTTTTAGCACCAACAATTACATTATGTTTTTTCCATTCCGCACAGCAAATGTTCTAAATATATCCTTAGCTCATAATTTAAACAGACACCACACAAGACACATTTACACATATCACAACAGTAACTCTGGCATATCCAACAATTCACCAAGACATTTTTAGCAATTCTTTAGAGCCAATAAGCGATGAAATGATGAAAAGATTGATGGAAGCTGATGAAAACTTTTTTTTTTTTTGGTTCGCGATCAACGATGATAGTAAGTTTTTATCGTGATCAAAAAAATCTTAAAATATATCATATGAAAAGTTTTCATCATTAATTTTTTTTTTTGCAATTCTATGGAAATTGAATTTAAAAATAATAGCAGTTCTTTTGCTCACAAAAAAAAAATAATAATAAATAAACACTTCCACATGTAAAAGATCACATTTTCATTGTCGCATTGGCTGTAAAGTCATATTCTTCTCTAAATTTAAACTTCTATGATTTTGTAAATCATCACACAAATCAAGAATGACGGAAGTAAAATATAGTGCAACAATGGTGAGAGTGAAAAGCAATAGAAGAACAATGTAGGCCTTGGCGTGATACTTTTTTTTTTTTTTAAAGGTGTGCACTGAGAATTTTTGTTCCCAAAGATGTGTACAGAGAAAATTTAATTTTAAGATTTGTTGTGTATTGATGTCTATAGTGGTCATTTTGTTTAATGGTAAAATTGTAATAAAAATTTAATTTATTAAGTGTGTGCACATGGAGTAAATGATGTGCGAAAATATATTTACCTATTTTGCATCCACAAATGCATTTATAATGATGTGGTAAGGATGAGAGGTCCAATATCATTGAATGTTTAACCAATCAAAAATCGACATTTATCAGATTACATCATTGTAGTTAAATTGTGAAAAATTTATGAGTTTCAAACATTTTTCAAAGACAAATATCTCTTGTATTTTTGTCTATACATAGATTACACATTTTATTTGAAAACAATCACATAATCATTTATAATTTGTAAAATAAAATACATCGTTAAATATTTTGTTCAAATTAAGAGTAAATATGAAATGCATGTCAAACATAAAGGAATTATATGTTTATTTTTTAAATTTTCAAAAGATAAATTATAAATAAAATAAAGCACAAGAGTAAAATTTTCATCCCAAGCAAAAGATAAAAATATCTATAGTTCATAAATTTAGATTACACTTAGATTACTTATGTATGTGTTGGCTTTTTGGCTTTTCGAAGGGTAATTGTGTAAATGTGAGCGTGCCAGTAAGGATCAATCAGTCCTTACAGAAATTGTGATTGCCAACCAATTATCAGACGATTGTGTTTTAGTTCTTTTCAGCCTCAATGAAGAGGACTTTTACTGGTGGCTTGACTTAGGAGAAATTAAGAGAGAAAACAGTAATATGAAGAACAATTGAAGTATTTCATAAAAATGAACACTTACAATGGTCCGAACTCAGCCTCGGAGAGGTTTACAACAGCAATCTACTTGAATCTACTTGAAGCCACTCCTATGAATCGAAGTGCAGTGCGGGTATTTAAAGTGCAGGTATTTAAAGAACAGGTATTTAAAGACTGGAAATGTAAAGACGGGAAAAGAAAATATATGAAGTAAATGACTGATTTGTATGATCTGAGTCCGTCCTTTTTTCTGGGGGCTACCCTGCTATTTATACTCGTCAGTGATGACCTTCGAACTGCACTTCGAACCGTCGAACTGCTCCTCCATGATCGCTGATCATGCTTCCTTACAAGTAGCTCCATTACGCCATTACTGGCAGTTGAGCTTTCCTCTTGTACTTGAAATTTGAATATGAGTAACCGCTAAAGATATGTCATCTAACATCCCGTTATTGATCTAGTGTTACTCAGATCATGTGAGGACCAATATTTATTGCCACGTGTACGATCAGGATTAAAGGCTTGAATAACCTTCCTTTATTACCCTTACTATGCCACGTGTCGAACTGTAACTGGCTTTTACAAAATATGTAGCCAACAGTATGTATAAGTATTTTACTTTTTTTTATTAAATCATTAATTTTTTAAATAAGAGAGATAATTGCACATGTATGTAAGGTGGTGAAATTTGCCCTTTTAAAAACATCAAAGAAAAATCTGCAATAAAGGCAAATTTTAGGGATGTCACTGTAATTTACCCAATTTGCTGCAAAAGCGGCGGCTCAGCTGGTTAATTTTTGGAACTGGGAAGTGTGGCCTATGTATGCATTCCTCCTCACATCACACGAACAGTGTTCCCTGTCCAAAAAAGAAAAGGACTTTCCTCTCTCCACACGCATTGCTCAGTGAACCACTCAGCCCAGGTGGATTACAGGTTTGCTTTAATTTTTCTTGTATTTTATCTCCTAATTTCCATTCGGTGTGATTAATCCTTACGATTAATGATTTGGGTCTCTTATACCTTCCGTTTTTGTTGCCGATTTAATGGGTACAAGTGAAAGAAATTCAAAATCTTTATAATCTGTTGGTTTACGAAGATTTGAATTTTCTCTCTTTTCCGGCCTTTTCTCAGCAACCAAACAGAGGTTACATATTACTGGGGAACTAGTGTTGGCAATGTGTTTTGGTTTCTTTGTCAACTGAATGTGGGTCTCTTGATTTCATTTATTATGTTTTGTTTTGTGGGTTTTTCTTTATTTATGATCATATTGATTATCAATTGCTTTGTTGGTGTAAGAGATTAATAACCATTATTTTGATTACACAATTGCATGGACTGAAGTGACATATAGGTTTTGTGTGGAAATATACTCAACTTTTTAAGCAAACCCCAAATATATGGCACACCGTAAGAACCACTATGCTCGCGAGCTGATCATCTTAGAACAATTTTTTTTTTTTATTTTTTGGATTGTTACTGTGTATTTGAATTTGGGTTTTGATCATTAAACACTGTCAAAAAATGAAGTTACTTGGTGGTGTAGTATCATACTTGAAACATTTATCTGACTAGTGTATTTCAATATTTATTTTAGTAAGGCGTTTCTCTTTTCTTTTGTTTGGCAGTGGAAGAGTATTTAGTAAAACTTTGCTTCCCTTCATAAATAATAGCCTTCTATGGAGCCAGAAAGGTATGCTCTTCAGTTCTGCGCATCTTGTCTGTTGAAGTAGGGATTTTTTTTTTACTCTTTCTGGTTTATAATCAATATTACTCCATCATTCTGTATCCAAAAAAAATGTTAAAAAAAATTTACTCCATGATTTGTAAATTATAAGATGTCATAACATACCAATTAGTCTTTTCGATTTCTTGTAACTATGAGCAATCATACATGGTAATATATTTTTGCTAGCCTTACTCCTCAACAAACATACCCCAAACATCTTCTGATTGACAAGATGATCTGAGTTGTGGTCCAATCGCATTTGAAATATTTTAGTACACCAAATATATATATATACATATATATATATTATGTATTCTCCAAGTGTCCAAAGAGTGTCCGGGTCTTTAAAAAATAGGACACGTTTTAAAGAGTGTCGGACACGTGTCGGGAAAGTGTCCAAAGAGTGTCGGTGTCCGACACGGATACGACACGGATATGTTACCTTCTTAGAAGTGTCCGTGCTCCTTAGACTATGAGCAATCATACATTGTAATATATTTTTACTAGCCTTACTCCTCAACAAACATACCCGAAACATCTTCTCATTGACAAGATGATCTGAGTTGTGGACCAATCGGGTTTGAAATTTTTTAGTCCACCAAATATATATATATATATATATTTTTTTCTATCAGCCAATATCATAACAAAGAACAGGCAAGGTACACATTGCATTGACTGACTGCTGATGGGAAATCAGTAGTTTTGTACCAAGATATTTATGTTTTTTACTAGGTGAATAAGAATTATATTGCAATGCTTCTTCTGTATCTGATGATGCTGGAAACAAAAGCACATTTGTTTCATTGTGGCTTCCAATGTTAAGTTATTTTTGTTATTTTCCTTTCGGCCCCCTTGTTTTCCTGATAACCAAACAGCCCTTAAATATAGTGTTACAGGTGAAGAAAAAAATAAAATGTTCTTACATACAAACTACCTTATCACATTAACATCTAAGTATTCAAAGAAGCCTTCCCTTGCTGCTGTGTACTCCAGACTAAGTAGTGTAGGTTACAGATTCTAGTTCCATCTGTTATAGAAACCACTTCTGATGTGACCCTTGACCTGTTTGATGCTTGACATTAAAGATGGAACCACTATTGGTATCAAGATTGTTATTCAAGTCAGATGGTGCTTCACTTTTTGGGACTCTCTATCCTCCTCAATCTCCTCTATGCTATGAAAAAATAAAAAAAATAACCATGTTTGTGGGGGTTTGCAAGCCACAATTGCTTACAGTTGTAGGGCACTTGGTTTTCTCTTGAACGATGTATACTTGACAATCCGTTTTTAGTGAATACATGAAAAATGCCATGACATGCGTTCTAATATAACAAATTGATATTAGTAGCTAGTTGATTCTATGTTCAATTCAATTTAGTCATTTTTAAATTTTTATTTTTTTATTTTTTTTTATCACATTGCAGCTTACTGTAATCTCATAGCTTTCACAATGAATATGAATTGCAGTTTTTCAATAATAATTTAGACCGCTACTTGATTACTTCAGAGCATCTTTCTAATTATAGAAAGTTTTTAGTTTGGGTTCTCTTATTTTGATTTGTAAGACACATTTTCACAGTTTGTTAGGTATTGTTATGATTCATAGTTTCTTACTAGAAAAAAATTGTACTAATTTTATTGAATGGTTACACTGAAAGTCCACTTATGATAAACCTGCACTTTTTTTTGGATAAATAATCAAACTTTATTAGAAAAGCATCAAAATGATGCAAAAAATACAAAAAAAGAAACCCATGAAAGGGCCCAAAAAGCACTTACGAACAAATCCTTCACAAAATCTACAAAAACCAAGACATCAGGATCAACCGAACGAGTAGCCCAACTGTGCTACTCCAACAAAAGCCTACTTTCTAACTAAGTAACTGAAGAACACACATCCTAAAAGATGCGCCTATTACGCTAAATCAACCAAAGCAAATAATGGGAAGCAAGTAACCAAGCCTTTCGGTGCTTCTTCCCAATCCTAGCCCCGCCCTAACTCTACAGAACCCCTATCGCAGATCCTAGGTGCACCCAAGCCATGCCAAACAAAGCAACAATCAAACTCCACAATTGAGACGCAACCGAGCAATGAACAAACAAGTGATCCACTGTTTCCACATCCCCACGACACATAGAACACCAATTCACCAAAATATGCCCCCGACAAATCAAGTTATCAACAGTCAGAATGCGGCCCAGAGATGCTGTCCAAATAAAAAAAAGCAACCTTAGAAGGTGATCCCGTACCCCATATGCACCTCCAAGGAAAGATAGCACCATCACCACCCGCAAGCACGCTGTAAAAAGATGACACCAAAAAAACCTCTTTAGATCTCGGACAATCCCACACCAAAGAATACACCCCATACCTCCCCGTTCTTCACTCCATACAAGAAACCCAATAACTCTACCAACTGATCCACCTCCCAATTTTGAACGTTGCGACGAAGATAGACATTCCAAACAAACGACTATCCCTGCATAACCCTAACCAAAGCAACCATTTCCTCTCCATCAACAGAAATGGCATAAATCAAAGGAAACATGTCTGCCAAAGTCACACCACCACACCACCTATCATGCCAAAAACGAACCCTATCCCCTACCCCCACGTTCAACCAAATCCTATCCCAAAACTCCTTCCACCCCAACCAAATCCCCTTCCATAAACTCCGGCCATGACATTGGCTCACCCTATTTGAACACCACCCCCCCACTGCCAACCTACACTTCGCCGCCACCACCTTTCGTCACAATCTCTCCCTTTCCTCCACAAAACGGCACAACCACTTTCCCAAAAAAGCCTGATTAAACCCAACCAACTTTCGAACCCCCTCCTTCCTTGGGACTACAAATTTGCTCCCAAGCGACCAAATGATAATGAAACCCCTTCCTCCCCCCACCCCATAGGAAATCCCATTGCAACTTTTCCAACTGCTAAGCGGCTGCCACCGGAATCACATGAACTGACATAAAATATGTCGGGATGCTGGAGAGAACACTTTTGGTCAAAGTAATCCGCTTTCCTTTTGACAAGTACTAACACTTCCAACCTGCCAACCGTCGGTGCACATGATCCACCACCCCATCCCACACCCACTTTTTTTTTTTTTTCTTTTCTAATTTAATGTAATATGTCACTTCAAGCAGTGTGTCATTCATGAAGGAAGTTGTGAAATTTTCACTTCGTTGTACTTGAAGAAACTTGTTTCTTACGCTATTCAAATTTTCCATGCCAGGTTAAATTCTCCCGACACTTCAGCGATTCTATTTGAAGTTTTAGGCCATCAATTACAGTTCTCTCAGGTAATCAAGCTTTTGGTAGGCTGTTTGTTCATTCCATTCTCTCCTTTTTTGGGTAGACTTTCGTAATGTTACTTCATAATGTGATTTTCTGGTCAAGTTTGTGTCTTCACCAATTGACTACATGAGTTCTGCCCTCAGGAATGATATTCAGAGTCTTAATTCTGTTATGACAAGATCCAATAGCTTGGCCTCAAAATAGAAAATTGCTGATATTCCTTCTTAGTCAAGAAGGTGTATCTGAAAATCCTTGCATATATTGAATATAAAATTGTTTGTAATATAATGAAACAAGCCTTTTGCTCTCATGGAATTCTAGATTTAGTCTTCTTGTTTCCCAACTAATCTAATTACACTATGCAAAATGCTCTTGATGCCTGCTAGATTTAATGTTTCAGCTACCACTATCCATTTCATGATACAGATTATTCGATATTACATTTTGTTGTACTAAATCTCTTGCCTATCTTCTAATAGTTTCCTTGTCTGTGGAAATTTTGTTGTAATCGTGTTAGGATCCCAATTCCAAGCATTTGGGAACTACAGTTTGGGATGCATCAATGGTGCTTGTCAAATATCTGGTAATTTTTGTAATCCCTTAAGCAGTCTTTTTGCATCGAATTCATTAGCTCGCTTGGAATGTTTGTGCTACAGGAATTACCTTTCCTTATTATTTTTTATTATCAATAAATATCCATACATCGTCATGAAGTAGTTAGATTTGGTGGAGAGCTATATTCATCTTGGCAATTGTAATTAGATGTTCAAGGAATCCATATTTTTTATTTTATAAATCTTTATTCTTAATCATTTGGCTTGGGGGTGTTTTCCTTTTCAAATTTCTTCACTGCTCTCTCCTCTGTTTGGGGGGAGTGGGGGTTTGAGGAAGCATTAGTCATGGCTAGGATGCCAAGCATCAAAATTGATCTTTTCAATCTCTTGAAATCTTACTTGATAGCATACTCACTGAAACTTATCATAATCAGATTGAACATGTACTTAGGACTTTGCCATTTAAAGACCATTTTATTTTGTTTTAGTTCAAACTGCTGACACTTGGGTAAGACAGTTTATTTTGTAAGCCTTCTTCAGTTGACTTGTGACTTCTAGAGATTATATTTGGAGTTTGTTAGATGGACTCCTCTAAATGCATGAAAAACACTCAACACTTGAGTAAGATCACTGGATATGGATCTGATATGTGTAGTTGACCATTCAGCTAATAAGTGTATGCCTTGTTTGGGAAAGGCTATTAATTGGCTTTTTAGGCTAAAATCTACAAAAAGACAAAATAGGCTAAAATAGCCAATAAGACAAAATAGGCTAAAATAGCCAATAAGACAAAATGTCACATCAAATCTATAATCATTTCACTTTTTCTCTTACAAACATCACATCTAACTACAAAAAAATCCATCTTTTCAAACACAAAATTTTAAGCCTACTAAAATAGCTAAAAACTAAAATAGCCAACTTCCCAAACAAGGGCTAAAAGTTAACCATAAAATTATAAATAAAAGCTCACATTATGCATAAAATGCTCTATGACAACTTGTGAACACCATTTTACCCTAGAAAATAAAAAATTTATATCAATAAATATGACTATTTTGTCATGTCCCCGTGCCTTGGACATGAGATTAGATAAATCAGACATTCAAACACATGCCCATACCCGTGTCCATGTAACACAGTGGTTAGATTTAGCATTGGCTACAAATTGCTAATCTACTTTGCATATGTTAAAGTCGTATGATTGCCATTAACCATAAAACAAAGCCTTGTTACCCCAAGATTTCACCTATTTATTGTGAGACAACTATCAAATGGTATTAAATTGATTTAGGGGACTTCAACTTATGTGCTCGTTCAAAAGAGTTTGTTTGGATAAAGAAAGGTTAGGTATTGCTATGTGTTTCACTAGGTTACCACGTCAAAGTTAGGACTAAGGTATTGAACACCGGACAGTCCAAAAAGGAATTCAAGGTGGTTGGGTTGCATTAGATGCAGTTAGTTGGTCAACTGGTTTCACATAGATTTGGTCCATTCACCAGTGATGCAAGTAGTTGCATCTTTGTTCCCCTCCCCCACCCCCACAAGAGCAGGCTCATAAGAAGTGGGCCTTAGTGTCAAACAAGTGATGCCCGTACTTTAGCCCCTGAACTAGTAACCCTCAAGAACCTCCCCTAGTTTATCTTGTGGTAGACTATTTTTTCAGCCACACATAGCGAGGCCAATGCAGTCTTGCCATTGGGACACTGAACCACTTAGGATTCCTAAGGCCTTTGCACCTGACCGTGGCAGGCATTATAACATCAGGATGTATTTGGGTTTGTTTGTATCTTTCATATTCGATGTTTTAGTTTTTTGTGTTTTCATAAACAAAAACAATGAAATGTTCGAAAAAACGCAATTTTTTAAAATTCAGAAAATAACTTTAAAGTGTTTCCTAAAAATGGGGTATTTTTAGAAGTTTTTCCTGATAACGGTTTGCAAAACAAGTATTCTTGTTAATTTTTTGTTTTTCTATTTTTGAGAACAGAAAATAGATGACAAAGATTGATACCAAATGCACTCTTAGATTCGATTGACCTGTGCCCCTCTTGGGGATGGTTAATTGCCTCATGTTTATGGTGTGCCTTAATCATTTATTTATCATAGTTATGATTGGTGCACGTGGCAATCTTTTATAAAGAGTTCCGACACGTACTTTTGAACTTTTCAACAAATGGTTGGTTGGGCCCATATAAGATAATTGTGGCATTTTCTCATAATGATGCTTGTCCTTCAGCTTTTCAACATTTCTCTTAACCTTATTTGCCCATCCACACCGTGTTATCTGATTATTAAATAAGTATTTTATTTATTTATTATTATTATTTTTAAAACTCTGTTTGTGCTTGTGTGCATGCTTGTGTGGCTCAGGAAAAAAATTGCAGAAAGGGAAGGTTTTCCCCTTCTAAACTGAAAGGAAAACGTGTTATTGAACTTGGGGCAGGATGTGGAGTGGCTGGCTTTGGTGAGTGTCTTCTGTTTTTGCATAATCTCTGATATGAATGTTATGTAGGGATGGCTCTAGTTTACTGTGATCTATTGCGAGGGGAATAGCTTAGTGTTTAGTGGTGTGGTTTTCAGGCATGGCATTGCTAGGATGTGACGTAGTCTCCACAGACCAAACTGAGGTTTTGCCATTGCTAATGAGAAATTGTGAGCGTAATGCATCAAGGATCATGCAAATGAATCCTGGTTCAGGTGTGCTTACAAGTTTCTGATCTTTCCTTTTTCCTTACTTCTCTCTGAATTCAATTTCTTATCTAAATGACCATCATATATAATTGGTGTTCAACTGATATCGTCAAAGTTGTCAAATGTCATTGCTTTCTTACCTACTGTGGTAAAAAAAATTTACCGTTCTCTTACGTGAAAATTTTGTTTCATGTAGATTCCTTTGGTTCCATCCAGGTTGCAGAGTTGAGCTGGGGTAATGTGGATCAAATAAAGGCTGTTGATCCACCGTTTGACTACATCATTGGCACTGATGTTGTAAGTTTCGTTAAATAGGATTCGCTTATGCTTTTGTCATATCCTTTGCAGATGTCGAAATTAAGTCATTCAGACTTTAAATTTCTTAACGTAGGTTAGATAAATGAATGTATTACATGTTTGCATTATTCATCAATAACATTTCGACTAAGCAAAAGGATTTCAAAATTTTGTACTAGGTTTATGCAGAGCATCTCCTGGAACCACTTTTGCAGACAATGCTTGCGTTGTCCGGACCAAAAACCACTATTCTGGTAACTGTTCTCCAGCTACAAGTATCTTTTTGCTTCTTAATCTTTTTATCTGTTTCAAAACCATTTAACAGCTGAACTCATTTGTTTAGCCAAATTTTCATGTAGTTGGGGTACGAGATTCGTTCTACAAATGTCCATGAACAAATGCTCAACCTGTGGAAGAGAAACTTTGAGGTGAAAATTGTTCCAAAAACAAAGGTACACGTTATATTTAATTCTCGGGACCTCTTTACTAACATAGCATACATGTCAAGTTTTCCTTTGAATTGCTAACAATATGTCAAACCAGTTTTCGTTTCCAATTTCCAAAAAAAAGAAAGAAAAAAGAAAACAGAAAATGAAAGCGATAATTCTATTTGCAAGGAAACAAGGCCTTCCTGAAATTAATGTTGGAATATTTCATCTTTTGTAGATGGACAGTAAGTACCAGCATCCAAGTATCCAACTTTTCATCATGGGCATAAAGCCTCCAGAAGGAAGCGTAGAAACCACGAACCAGGGGATTGATCGGCAAATTGATGAGATTGAAACTACAGAAACCAATCATGGAGAAGACGAAGATGGTGATAAAAGTAGTTGCATTGATGGATTGGATGATTCTGGCAGCAATGAAGTCAAAGAAGATAGCATGGTAGTTCCAAGTATTCAGAATGATAATCTTAGCGAATGGGAAGCAAGAAGATTTGGCTCTATGGCAGCTAGGCTTCTTCGAGATGTCAGCATTACTTAATTATTTCTGTTTTTGTATTTGTGGCTTGTTGGCTCTCTTGTATCGCCCTTTATGAAAAAGCATTAGGAATGCTATCAAAGGTTTTTTGAACCACGAAACTTTGTATACTTTAGCCTTTTTACTTGGTGTAAATCATATTGGGGCCTTTTGGGAAGTGAGTTATAATCCACTTCTCAGATTGTAACCCACTTCTCTCTCTCACAAAAAGCAGCTTTTAACCATCTTCTCAAAATAGTCCATTCTAATGTTGCTTCCTTGTCAGTTCATTATGCTACCCTATATTAATGAATGCGTGCTTGTTGAGTATGCTAGAATCCAAAAACTAAGTTAGAAACAATGAAATCCTCAAGCCTGATAAATTGTAATATCAAGAAAATGATAGGCACAAAAAAAAAAAAAAAAAAAAAAAAAAAAAAACAACAACAGCAACAACAACAGGCTCCAATAACTGAGCATGAAGATAATCCAATTAAGGTCATACTATTGTACAGACAATTTTATTCAAGAAGACATTGAAACAATTTGTGAATGGTTGCGTGTAATTTGCTGTAGAACTTGACTTCTATTGAAGTATGATGATGAATTACTTGTGTGAGATACATTCAAAGTTGAAACCAAATCCATATGAATTGCCAAATAAGAAATCAACGGGTCTGCCCTAGACTTGACGATAACAAACCTCAATTGATTAGACACTACAGTGGGAAATCGCAACAACCTCTTATGTCCCACTGTCGTGCCATTAGTCACTTCCTTCCATTGCCCTTTCTCATTTAAGCTATCAAGATGGAACTCAACAACACGTTGCCCCATCTGAATCGGCTCTTGAACGTGTAAAACATTGAAAGTTACTGGATCTTGAAACTCTAAATACAACATCCAATCCGATTGATTTTCTTCTGAAGCCCAGTAGGAGTACATACCTTCTTCAAGAACATTCCGAGAGTCAAACTGAGAATCATTGATGCCTTGTCTTGTACTGCTCGCAGAAATGAGGGCATTTTTTGCCAAGTTTTGGGAGAATATGGATGCTCGGAGCTCGGTGAATTCTTGAAGAACTTGAATATCTTCATTGGATATGAGACCTGATGAGTTTGGGGGTACATTTAGTAACAAGAGACAGTTTCTGCCGACTGATTTGTAGTATTTGTCGAGAATAGTCTGTGCGGATTTCGGAAGTTCAGATGCATGCCAAAACCAACCGGGTCTGATGGAGACGTCACACTCGGCAGGTACCCAGTCATGACCGAATGGATCTCCACCTTTTGCATATCTGTCATATACATTAATGGCGATGAAGTGAGGCTCTTTCACTGTCCAGAACTCCGAAAGCATGACAGATTAAGAAAAGAAGATGAAGATTAAACTTTTTTCATCATGTGTTTAATCTTCATCTTCTTTTCCTCGTTCCTTTATGCGCTATATTTAAATCTTTGATTTGTCAGGGGAAAGGAAAATGAAAGAGAAATAACATTACCAGTTCATTTTTTTTGTTGGTGGCCCGAAAAATAAAAATAAACATATTTATGCAAATACCTATTCATTACTTCTCATTCATAACCCAACTACAAAAAGATTCTTCTACTTTTTCTTAACCAAGACCCAAACATAAACAAATGGAGCATAGTGTCTTTTGAAGATTCAAGAAAGAGGCATCACAGAAACATCTAAGATAAAAAATAAAAAAAAAATTAGAATTTGAAATTCTTGGATATGACATAAATGGTTAGTCACTTCTACAAGCTTTTCAAATGCCAGAGAACACTCACTGTCAAAGCAGTACAGATGCGAACACAGGACACAATAGAAAGATGGGCACGCTAACACAAAAACTCTTAAAAAATCTAACACCACAGATAGAGACTTAACAACAAATACACACATAAAAATAATAACTAAATTCATTTTTAACATTACAAATACATTTATATTTTATTATATCAAAATAATAAGAATTTTTTGTTATCCAAATTCTATATATTGGAAAAGAAGTGTGAACAAGAAGTCCAAAAATCTATTAAAAAATATATTTGCGGGAAAAAAAAATGGACGTTTTGGCTACGTTTGTTTGGCGGATTAGGTTGGATATGATTGTTAGTGAGGGAATGGTTAGTGAAGAGATTGTTAATGTGAAGATAGTTAGTGAGGAGATAAGTAAAAGTGTGTTTGTTTTGATGATAATTGTTAGTGAGGGAATTGTTAAATTATTTTTATATAAAATAAAAAATATATATATATTTTTATGTAAAAAAAAAATGTAAAAACAGATATAAAAAAAAAATCAGAAATAACAAAAAAAAGAAGCACTATTCCAGTAAACTGGCTGAACGACCGACCAAAAGTCCGGGAAGACAACCAGATACACTCTAATCTCCGGATTTTTTTTTCAATCCCACCTTCTACCAAGCCAAGCTAATTTGCCCACTGAGGGGGATTACTAAACTGAATGGAGTATCAATCCAGCCTCTTCTATCACCACCAAACACGCTATGGTTAGGATCCATAGCCAACCTAAGCCAATCCGGCCTTTGAAGTGGGGAAACAAATATGGCCTTTAGGCGGTAGATTTCCCAAAATTAAAAAGCCTAAAGGAAGAGATATTAAGGGATATAAATCCACATTGTTTTGATTTTAATCATTTGCTCTCATGTTATTTTCTTCAAACTTGTGACATGTTGTGTGTATAAATTATATATACATGTGCCCCTAAAGTTTTCAAAACATGTCCCATTTTAAAAAAGTTAAAAAATAATAATGATAAGATAAGTTTGGAAGCATGTCTGGCATGTGTTAGACATGGACATGACACCTTCTTAAAGTGTCATTGATTCTTAATCCATAGTAAGCACATTTACAGAAGTGAAGTTTGAAAAAGAGGACTCACTCGGTATCAGTGTCACCAATTTTAGCAGCACTCCTGTTGAAAATAGACCAGCAAGAGGGTGCAGCAACACCGGCCTCGTCTCCAACCCACCTGACATCTGGACCAGCATCAGAGAAAATGACTGCCTGGGGCTGGAGTTGATGAATGAGACTACACCAACAATCAAAGAAATACTCCATGTCCTTCTCTCCCTCCCCTTTTGCACCATCCAACCACACCTCTGTTATCATGCCATATCTGATCCGATTTCCAAAAAAGAAGCAAAAACAACTTACCTCAATACTCCTTATTACAATAGATGCAAGCTCTAAAGTTTTCCCAAATACAGAAGAAAGCCGAAATCAGTTAGGGCACATTTGAATGTCATTAAAAACTGAATGGTCCATTGTGGTTTATATGGCATTTTAAAGTATGAATCCATTATTATTTCAAATAAGACAATTACAGAGAATTTGGTGATTAGCTACAATTGAAGGTTTACAACGATTTGATTCATTTTATGATTTTATGTCGACAGCCAGCTTTTGTAACAGAACAAAATGGGCAATTCAAATTTTCATGCCAGCTACAAATGCAACAAGTGAATCATAAAAGAGGAATTGCTATTTCTCCAGAAACACAATCAATCAGCTTTAACCAAGACAAGTTAATCAAAATCGCTAAGCTGCACTTGGATGGATGAATTTCAAATGAAGGGATTTTAGTAATAATTTTAGAAAAATACAGGAGATTAAGATATTATAAATGGGAAATTCAAATTTAAACTACTAAATCTAATTTGAGTTTGTGTCAACTCCTTTCATTTCAAATCCATAAATCCAAATGCAACCAAACTTTATAAACATCCCTAACAATTGCACAATTGCTCAATTGCTCAAAAACTCAAATAACCCAATTACCATCATCACAAACTACCAAAAAAAAAAAAAAGAGTCACTCACCCAGAACATGAATTCTCCAAAAACATACTCAGATCAAAACAACCAAAACAGAGCTCAAAGAATTACTCAACAAACAAAGCAAAGCAAACCCATTTTACAAAAACCAAAATAAATCCCCAAAAAAACATAATAATAAAAGTCAACTGCTTTGTTTTTACCTTGTGAGCAATTCAGTCATCTGCCCCATATAGAACTCATTGTACTCAAGAGTCTTCCCATAGCACGGCTCGTGCCGATCCCATGGCGAAAGATAAAGCCCCAGTTGGACACCAGCACTGTGAGCAGCCTCGGCCAATTCGGCCACAACATCGCCATTCCCGTTCTTCCAAGGACTAGATCTCACCGAATAGTCTGTGTATAGAGAGGGCCACAAGCAGAACCCATCGTGGTGTTTGGCGGTTAGGATTATGCGAGAGAATCCATTTTCTTTGGCGACTCTGACCCACTGGGTGGCGTCTAGGGCGGAGGGGTTGAAGATTGAGGGATCGGCGTGGCCTGTGCCCCATTCGGAGTCGGTGAAGGTGTTGGGTCCGAAATGGAGGAAGAGGGCCATCTCTGAGAGCTGCCATGAGAGTTGCCGTGAGGTTGGGATGGGCATAATTGGAATTGGCGGCGGTCTTTTGAGCTGATGTGGTGATGATGATGATGATGATGATGATGAGGAGAGAGAGAACATAGAGAAGAGGATGAGAGAGGTGAATTCTGAGATGGGTTGGTTGAATTTGAAGGTGGGTTTGTTATCATAAATTGTGTTCTTCTTGATTTTCATGGTGGTTTATGATACTCTGCCCTATGAAGCAAGAGTGTTTTGCGTGTGTCGAGCGAGAGAGAGACACAGAATTTGTTTAGCCTCCGTTTGGCAAGTGGGTGATTTTTTGGCTTTTTGATTTTTTTGACTATTTTAGTCTGGGTTGTTTTAGCTTGGTTTGGGAATGACTTTTTAGTTTTTTGGCTTTTTTGAGTTTTTTTGTGAGAGAGGATTGTAATGATTATGGATTGGATTTGATATTTTGTTTTTTTTGGTTAAAATAACTTTTTTATTTTTTGTGACTATTTTAGCCAAAAAAAAAAAAAAACCCTCCTCCCAAACCATGCCAAACTAGTGGTCTGTGTTATGCACGAAATTTTATAAATTAAAAAAATTATTATAATCATCTTGATGTAGTTTAAGTAAAAAAATTGTAAAAAAAATCTTTTAAAAATTCACTAAATATCAAAAATACAAAAAAAAAATACAAGAATTCAGTACATTTTTTATATTCTATGTATTTATTAATTTTTTAAAATATTTTTTCACAAATTTTTTACTTTTTAGATACATCTAACTAAGGTGCATCTAAAAAAGTAAAAAAAATGTTTAAAATTTAAAAAATATTCACTAAAAACAAAAGAATACGAAAACTAAAAAATTCAGTTTTCAAAAAACTTAATTCAGAAAATTCAAACCAAAAACACTGAATATTTTGGTAAAGAGGAAGTAACAAGTTTTGAGTATTTATTTCTATTTTGAGATTTGTTGATATTAATAGTTGTTGATTTATTAATTAATAAATCAAAATTTATTATAAAAATGTCCACCGACTACATGAACTTAATTAATTTATTATTAGGGTTGATTTGGCATGTTTAAAAAAAGTCAAAAAGTCACTATCCTATTTAAATCACATTACCTCTCTAACACATCACTTCAAATCCAACCCAAACTCAACCCATATTTCATAAAAAATAAAAAATACATTTATTTAAATCATCCCACACAAACAATCCTTTAGTTTCAACGTAGAAAAATGCTTGGGAGCACTAATTAGTGCTCCCACTAATTAGGTGGCATTGGGTCCCGCCATTAATGGTGTGATGTTTTGGTCTTGGAGTTTTTTTTTTTTTTTTTTTTTTACTTTTTTAATGCATTAGTGCTATTAGTGGTGATGTTTTTAGTGGGATGAATCATTGTTGTTTTTTAAAACAATCACTATTTAACTCAAATTGTTTAATATAAAAAGTGAATCACTGTTTTACATTTTCTTGACAAAAAAATTATATAAAATAACATGCAACAAGCCATGTGCATATTGGGCTACCCAAAATTGGTAGAGCCTCAAATTTATGAGTTTGGGTTTGTGTGGGCTAGGTTTGGCCCCAAACTAGGTCATGAATCCAACATGGGACTATCAATTGGGTCAAACAAGCCCAAATCCATTGTTGCTGTCTGGTTGTACTCCCTTTCCACCCTTTGGGTATTTTTTTAATATATAAAAATTGCCTTTCAAGATGTAAAAAAAGAAATGATAAAAAGGACTGGAGTGTCCAGTTAGACTCATAAGACCCATCGCATGTTTCCCTCCAGTGATTTAAGTTATTTATCTTATGGTTCTTCGGTTTAAATTACTCATAAAAAAAATTGTGTTTATATAACAATCATAATCACATGATTCATCATATTATTCTAAAAAAATAGATGATTTATTTTTAAAATCAAACTTGTCGTTTAATTTTTAAAAGAAAAATATAATAAAATAATTTTATTATGATTATCGGGTTAATATGAATTTTTTTATTTTTTTCTTAATAATCTACACGCAAAGCCCACGAGATGAACTACTCAGATCAATAGAGTCGCATCACTGATAAGCCCACAAGCTCAAATTACACCCCTCCAATCCATTAGTAGCTTAATTTGAGTTTGGCTGAGCAGAATTTTGTCAAAAGTTTGATTCCAAATTGAGCCACTGTGCTGAGCTCAACTTGGGCTGGACTCTAACCCAATTTGCTATATTATTCCAGTGTATCCTACATAATTATATTACTTCATAAAAATAGTATGTTGATTTTTTATTTATTTATTTATTTATTAGACATATATTGTTGCTTTACCTTATAAACATGAGTAGGGTTTCAAGTCGAGCCAGTTGGGTCTAGCTCAATACCTGCCTAGGCCCAACCCAAGTAATGTAGGCTTGACCTACCAATTTGAGGTCCTTAGTCCAAGTCTTATTCAGTAAATTTAACTTGAGTTTGGTTCTTGCTACTCACAAAAGATTGGGTTTGATTGAACCTTTTTAGACTAAAAAACTCATACTTTTGAGATGATTAACTTATTTTGAGTTGATTAATGTTCTTATAAATTCTAATAATGGGTTTCAAAAAGATTATAATAAAAAAATAATGTCGTAACGCGTTAATCTTGTAACCAATAATACTTTTATGCAACAATTTCAAAAAATAAAAAAATGTTTCATCGCTTCAATTTTAAAGGAAAAAAATAATTTCAAAAAATAAAAAAATGCTTCATCGCTTCAAATTTAAAGGAAAAAAATAGTATATTGCGGCTGAGACATGAAGTAGAGAAAAAAAATAATGGAGTGAGAGAGGAGGAGATCCAATAGTTGGAGTGAGAGCAAATACATATAAATTTTAATACATACATAAAATATGGAACTTCTGTTTTAGTTGTTAAGTTCTCTCCTCAAGTCAAACCCAATTTGAGTTGTTTAAGTTCTAACAATATGAAGTGTCTAATGCAACACTTTTTACTAATTTCAAAATAAACTTTTTTACTTATTTTAAAAATTTTATTTAACCTTTTTATTATTTTTAATTATTTTTTTTTTTTTACAAAAAAAAAAAAAAAAAAAAAAGAAAAAAAGAAAAGAAAAAGAAAACAGTTTCCAAAAAAGGAAATTAGGGGGATTAGGGGGAGGGATTTTAGAGCTACCAATCTTTATCCTAAATTTTAATACATACATAAAATATGGAACTTCAGTTTTAGTTGTTAAGTTCTCTCCTCAAGTCAAACCCAATTTGAGTTGTTTAAGTTCTAACAATATCAAGTGTCTAATGCAACACTTTTTACTAATTTCAAAATAAACTTTTTTATTTATTTAAAATTTTTATATAAAATAAACTTTTTTACTTATTTTAAAAATTTTATTTAACCTTTTTATTATTTTTAATTATTTTTTTTTTTTTACAAATTCTAACATTAAAAACACTAGTGACTATATGTCGACATTAATATAAGATTGTTTTGGAAACTAATTTTTAAAATTTTTTTTGACTAAAACAATCTATTTATTGCCAAGCTTATCCTAAAATATGATAAATTTAACTTTGGCCTTATTTGAAAAGTAGGATAAAAATTGACTTTTTAAATTTTTTTAAAAAAATGTGTAAAAAAATAAAGAAATGATATAATTCAAAAAAATTAAAAATCTAAAAAATTTTCTTTCAACCAACTTTTCAAAATAAGTTTTTATTTTTCAAATAATAATAATCTACAACAACCAACAATTTGATCCGGTTTAGAACCCGACCCGTTGACACTGGGCAACAGATTCAATTTCAAACCAAAGTTTACCAACTCGATCAGACTCAGCAATCAATCATGATTGATTGATTGATGGACTCCCTCACTTTATATAAAAAACATTAAATCAATATCTGACCTAGTACATGTTCTTCGATCTAAAAATTAAATTTATTTTTTAAGTTTAAAAATTAAATTTATTTTTAAAAATTTTTAATATGTGAAAAAAATAATTAGATGATAAATAAATATTTTTTAATTGTCAACTAATTATTTTCTTAATATATCATTAAATTTAAAACATAAATATAAAAAATGAACTTATAAAATTTTATTTATACGTATTTCTATTGCAAGAGTACACAAAATCCAGTACTCGCCAGGATTGATTGCCAATGAGCGAGTACACTCTCGCTTAGCCGCCTCAACTTGGGACCCACAATTCGAAAAAATGACAGGTGTCAGTTTGCTTTGTTTTTAGTAGGGCGAGAACATCGAGGCATCGGAGAGGACATTTTGACCGTCCGATGGCGAAAGTGGGGACACAAATCTTGATAATGATTTTTTGGGTAAATGCCACACAAAACACGCACGTAACTTGTGACGTCATCGGAGACAACGAAGCTTTCATGTCCTCCGTCGTCGGATCGAATCCCAGTTACAAGACTTTTGTGCCTCGTTTGACCTCTCTCTCTCTCTCTCTTTCTCTCTCTCTCCATATCCACTCCTTTTCATTTTAAAATTGTTATGGCGTTTTTATATTTTTTTAATTTTAAAAAATTATAAATTAAAATTTGTTAGTATCTATTTTTATTTTTAAAAATTTTGTACCAAAAGAAAAACATTTTGTTTTTAAATTTTAAAAACTAAAGATGGTTTTAATTATGGCTTATAAATTAACTTTTTGTTTACTTATTATAAAAAACGTGCATAAAAATAGAGAAATAATTTAATTTAAATAAACTAATAAATTAATAAGCAATTTATTTATGATTTTGCCAAGAGGACCCTAATCCATTGCATTCTTTGTCTAACGTTCTTTGATAATCACTCATCACCCATAATCACTATCTTCTTCTATCCATCACCTCTTATCGAAAACTAATTTTGACTAGAGACAATCACTTTTGACCACCAACCATCTTAGATGCTATCAACTACCTTCTCTGGTCACTTCTTCCATCGAAAATCATATCTAACAATTGACAACCACTTCTCGCCGACAATAATCTCTAGTCACCTTAACTTTATTGTTTTTAAATAAATTTTTAAAATATGCATACTGTGTATAGTTTTTTTTTTTTTTTAAATACTAGAAGTTAATAAATAAAATTACTAAACTATAAATGTTATGGCAAATTACACTTTACCCTACTCAACTGTTACATTTTTTCACTTTATCTCCTTAAACTAAAAATTGATATAATGTACTCTCACTCATTTGCTGAAAGTTTTCAATATAACATTTATGTCTCCATTCTATTAACAAAATAGATAATAAAAAAA